CGACCCACCGCACGAGCCCCGCCACGACGACGGTAAGCGCGAGGGCCGCGGCGACCAGGCGCCTTCCTCCTCGGCCTCCTCCTCGGCCTTGTTGTCCTCCTCATCTGCTTGTCCGCCTGCTCCTTGTCCTCGTCCTCCTTGTCCTTATCCTCGTTCTCTTCGTCCTCAACCTCTTTATCCTCATCCTCACCCTCCTCCTAGTCCTCATCCTCACCCTCCTCCTACTCATCATCTTTGTCCTCGTTCTCCTCCTCCTCCTCATTCTAATTGTCCTCCTCCTTTTGCTCATCCTCCTTCTCTTTGTCCTCATCCTTGTTCTCTTCATCCTCACCCTCCTCATCCTCGTCCTCACCCTCCTCATCCTTCTCCTCCTCATCCTCCTCCTCTTCTTGTCTCCTCTTGGTCCTCTTTGTCCTCTTCTTCCTCGTCCTCATCGTCTTCTTCCTCCTCCTCCTCCTCCTCTTCCTCGTCCTCTTGGTCCTCCTCCTCCATGTGCCCGAGCACACCTGGGAGCGCTCCCGTTCTGAGGTTGCTTGTCCCAGAGCAACGAGTGTGTCGGTGCTCAGCCGGGCCATGCAGGGGGCACGGGATGCTCCCGTTCCCTTCCCGCTCTCACATCCCACCCGGAGGCGGCTAAGGCGGGATAATGCCGCGCTCCAAGACCTTCACAGCCCTCTCGGTCCGTCCATCCGTCCTGTGTGTGAAACGATGCCCCCGAGCGTAGTCACCCCCTTCCTTCTCCATCGGGAATGCCACATCTCTGCACTCCCAGGGCGTAAAAACACTTTTCCACCCAAAAAAGGGTGCCCAGCCGGATGATTTCCCGGCGCTGCATTTTCCCATGTACCAAACTTGTCTGGGCCTGGATCCGTAGCACCGGCAAGGGATGAGCTGAAGCCGTGTGGAGCTGCTTTCCCTGTCCGGGATGGGGGCAAATGGCTGGGATTGGCAGGGAACGTTGGGATACGGGTGCCCAGCTGGGATTGGAGGTGCCTGGCTGGGATTTGAGGATGTCCAGCTGGGATTCAGCAGCCCCGGGCCGGCATCTGGGGAGCCCAGTGGGGATCCAGGCGCCCAGATGGGATTTGTGGATTCCCAGATGGGATTTGGGGTGAAAGAATGTCTGGGCTGGGGGTGGACGCCTGGAATTTTGGAGTGGGACTTATGGAAAATGTGTGGATGACATGGAGGGGCACACTGGGATAAGAGTGCCCAGCCGGGATTGGAGGCCTCTGTCTTGGATTTGAAGGTTCCAGCTGGGATTTGTGGTGTAACCTTGAAGCAGGGGGCTGCCCAGCCAGGATTTGAGGCTGCACAGCTGGGATTTAGGGACACACACCAGGGATTTTGGGAGGGAGAGCTGGAATTTAGGGATGCGCATGGGGATTTGGGGGTGCACAGCTGGGGTTTGGGAATGCACACCCGGGGATTTGGGGTTGGAGAACTGGAATTTGGGGATGCGCATGGGGATTTCGGGGAAGCACAGCTGGGGTTTGGAAACGCGCACCCAGGATTTGAGGGTGGAGAGCTGGAATTTCGGGATGCACGTGGGGATTTAGAAATGCACACACGGGATTTGGGGGTGGAGAGCTGGAACTGGCGGATGCACATGGGGATTTGGGGGATGCACAGCTGGAATTGCGGGTGCACAGCTGGGATTGGGGGTGCACAGCTGGGATTGGGGGGGCCCCGCTGGAAGTGCAGGCACCCAGAAGGGGGTG